GTCAGAAAAAAAGTTATATTCCTTTATAATAACTCTGCAGGTAGCAAAAAGTGTGAACATTGTTTTGGAAGCAGAGTTCCTCCTGACTAGAAGAAGAAAGAATGATAAGGATAATTTTAGCATAAATCAGCCACAATTTTCCTTTATAATTGTGTGTCTGTGGTGTATAAATATTTCTGTCAATCAGTAAGCATCTGCTCAAATAATCCCTGAAAAAAAAAGACCCAGTAGAAACGGGAAATGCAAGCAGTTTATGGTTTTACTGTATAAGGCAATGTTTGATAGCTATTTCAGTCGTCTGCAGTAATTACTGAAAACACAGAAAGCTGGGAAGAGGAGTGTGCATTGTCTGAAAAGGGACACTGAACTCTGCAAAATGTAATTAAAAGATGGTCCCTTTAATTACAATTCACTGTGGATTAGAAGCCTTCTTGCCCAGCTTTTCACCCTACAAAATCACTTAAAAACCAAATCCTATTCATCAGAAATTTTCATACACGTAGTAGTGTAAACATCCTGTATTCCTCGCTGTGCATGGATCATATTACAGGCTATTTCAGTCAGAATTCCTTTTACCCAGAATACGTTTTCTGTGACCGTTTCTGTCCCTTTGAAGAGACAGATCCAAGGAATAAATCAAATTAATCCGAGATGAAATATTGTCACTATTTAGTAAGCAGTTGTTCAGCATGATTAATCAGAATTAAACAAATACAGTGATTACTGTCAAGTCCCATATTCATTTTGTGTTGGTGGCTAGAACAAAGATCAACAATTGTAAAAGAAACATATGCATGGATCCTTACCTTTCCCAGATTTTCCTGCTCCTGGATGTTCTTTGAATATTGGTCTCTAAAAGGTTATAGAAACAAGTGAGAAATTAACTTACTGCGATTTTTTTTTTATTCTTTGATCTAAGTATACAGTAATACTCCCGACAATTAAGATGCAAAATGAAGAATCATGCTTTCTTTATTCCTCATTCTTCTTTCTGTTGCTTATTGTTTTATGCCACCCAATGTACGGACATTATGTTGCTCCCCCACACAAATGTTTCTGATGTTTATCTGAACTCTTTGTATCTCACAAACCTAATAAAACATATTGAAGAGAAATATCAAAGGGTTTCACTTAAATGAAAACTTCACATTTAAAACCGTTCCAGTTCCTAAATGAGACTCCACCTTGCAAGAGCTGCTCGGTTGTAGGTTATTGAGCATGTGTATACTACAACTTGATCCACAAGAAAGGAAATGATAATGCACACCGCCAATGCCACCGAATGGAATCTTTATTAGTGCTCCGACATCCCAGTAACACTAATGTTCCTCACCATGCAGCCGCATGCCTTTAACGCGTTTCACCGCTTAGGCATAATCGCTCTCTATCAATCATCAGGGAGTTTGATGCCTCCCTGATGATTGATATAGGACACAGCTGTGGCATTGTCAAATTAATTCAGACCAGATGATCAGTGAGAAGGGGGTTCCAGTGAAGTAATGACAAATTGCTTATAACTCCATTAGGTTGATTGGAAACATTGATTCCTCCGGAGATCAACAATCCAGAACAGGCAGAGGGCCCAGAACTTCACATCAATCCAGAAGAATGGCATCCGAACTTGTTGTCCAAAAACAAACTGGATTTGGCCCATACCGTGAGAATGTTCCGTTAAAATGAGCCACTTTGAAGGTGAATACCATCATCCCCAGCACGTGCTTACTGCTCCTCATGGAGTAACGATACCAGAATTGAAGTTGCTAAACATGACTGCAGCTTTCTCAACTTCTCCCAGTGCAGAAAGACCTGGGTCTGATGAGTAACCAGGAGAAGGCCCAAATACTCCAAGCAATGTGATTTTGTATCAGAGATGAATACTTAATGTTCAGGATCCATTCAAAGTCCTCCATGGTCCGCAGTGTGATTAACACATTGGAGTTCAAGGCCAGGAAGGTCTGTTCTCTTAATGCATCATCCACGGATCAGATGAGCAAAAGATATCGGAGATGAGGAAGGACAAGAACTAATACGAGAACCTTTTTGAAACTTTCCCAGGGTTAAGGCAAGGCCAAAAGGAAAGGCAGGACACTAACAGTGATTGTTGCTCACAACAAAGAGATCACTGATGACCTGAAAACAAGAGCAGTTTGTAAATGTCTCCATGATGAAGAAAGGAAATAAGTGACCAAATGATTTCCATCCCAAATATTTGAGGACGTACAAAAAGTGTTGAGGGTCTTTAAGTCCAAAATGGAATAAATCCCTGACTGGCTGAAAGGAGGTCCATTTGAAGTCACTGAAATGCTCAAACTGTGAGATGAAAGTAAAGAATTAAACAGAGGACAGATGGGAAACTATTTTGTAGGTCTGGGAACCATAACGTGACTTATTGGAAAAAAGGAACCTTATAATTCAGAATAGGAAGGTGTCGACCTGCACCTCAACTTGCATGCCTGGGGTAACTCAATACTCTTACCCCGTTCACCATTTTATGACTTCATTTAGCAGGGATCCAAAAAGACGGTCTCCCACAAAATGTAGGCATTTGTATATGCCTGCTCTGCCGCTTATGTCAGAGTGCCAGCTAGCATTCGACACCAATTTGCTCAGAAAAGTTAATGCTACAATCACCTAGTTAATGCAATCAATTGGTTGAGTAATAATGGTGGCAGCCTCTGCTGAGAGATTTCAGCCAGTAAGCCAAAGTCCGAAAAATAAGCTGAGAAGTGAGCTGAAGGGCTGACTGGGTTGAAGGGCAGAGCCCACCAAGGTGTACATAGATGTCCTTAAAGGAAGGAACATGTTACAGTCAAAACTTTGTTAGGTTAGGGCAGTGATGGCAAACCTTTTTGAACCCGAGTGCCCAAACTGCGACGCAAAATCAATTTAATTTATCTCAAAGTGCCAGCGCTGAAACTAAGTTTAGTATTGCAGTTTGGGCGCTCGGGTTTAAGAAAAGTTCAACATCACTGCCTTACGGCCTTGTACGGCTCTCACGGGGGACCCGAACGTCCCGGATCGCCTCTGTAGTCGGGCCGGTCACAATCAGGCAGCGGCGGTGACCTCTAAACAGGCAGATTAGACGGCCGCTTGCAGGGGCCTCCCGGGGTCCTAGCGTGGAGGAAGCAGCCGTCTAACCTACCTGTTTATTGGCTGCCGCTGCCTAATTGTGGCTGGCCCGGATCGCATACCAAGGCGATCCGGGTCAGTCAGATCTATTTCAATTGGTAGTCCCTGAACGCAGTGGTGTATTGGGGCTGCCCTAGGCAAGGCAAAACTCGGGCGCCCCCACCCCCACTAGATTTACCCTACCCCTTCCTGTTTAATACTTTTTGCGTGACCTGTCAGTCGCTGGATACAGTGTAAACACTGCATCCTGCTTTTGACATGTTCCGCTATTAGCATAGCAGGAAAGCTGTGGTCTCAGGGGGGCTTAGCAGGATTTGTGGTGAGCTCTGCGGGGTCTATGGTGGGCAGAGCCCACCACAGATCCTGCACAGGCCCCAAGACCCTGCCAAGCCCCCCACAGATCCTGCACAGCCACCTGGAGGCCCTCCAGTCTGCATGGTCTCAGGGGGGCTGTGCAGGATTTGTAATGGGCTCTGCCCACCATGGGGCTGCAGAGCCCACATAGATCCTGCAAAGCCCCCCTGAGATCCGGGAGACTGCGGGGTCTCTGCAGGATCTGTGGGGGGCTTTGGAGCCTGCAAAATCCCCCACAGATCCTGCACAGGCCCCAAGACCCTGCCAAGCCCCCCCCAGATCCTGCACAGCCACCTGGAGGCCCTCCAGTCTGCATGGTCTCAGGGGGGCTGTGCAGGATTTGTAATGGGCTCTGCCCACCATGGGGCTGCAGAGCCCACATAGATCCTGCAAAGCCCCCCTGAGATCCGGGAGACTGCGGGGTCTCTGCAGGATCTGTGGGGGGCTTTGGAGCCTGCAAAATCCCCCACAGATCCTGCACAGGCCCCAAGACCCTGCCAAGCCCCCCCCAGATCCTGCACAGCCACCTGGAGGCCCTCCAGTCTGCATGGTCTCAGGGGGGCTGTGCAGGATTTGTAATGGGCTCTGCCCACCATGGGGCTGCAGAGCCCACATAGATCCTGCAAAGCCCCCCTGAGATCCGGGAGACTGCGGGGTCTCTGCAGGATCTGTGGGGGGCTTTGGAGCCTGCAAAATCCCCCACAGATCCTGCAAAGCCCACTAAAAGGTATTGCACAGCCCCCCTGTGACTCTTTGGTGGGCTGTGCATAATGTATGCTGGGCCCTGCCAGCACAGTGCTCCTACCTTACACGGGAAGCCCAGCCGTCACTGCTGCCTCGGCGCCCAATCGTCTCAGCTTCGCCGCTTGACTGGCCCCTTGGTGACGCCTCCTCCATTGCGGCCTCTGCCTTTGCCTCAGTCTTGCCTCATCTCCCCCTGTCTCCGCCCTCTGTCTCATGCCGCTCCGTCCCCGTCTCTTCATCTCAGCCTCGATCTCACCTCTGTCTCCGCCCCCTGTCTCATGCCGCTCCGTCCCCGTCTCTTCATCGCAGCCTCAATCTCACTCTGTCTCCGCCCCCTGTCTCATGCAGCTCAGCCCCCAGTCTCCTCCCGTCCTCTCATCTCCGCCCCCATCTCCCTCTGTCTCCACCCTCTGCCGCTCCGTCCCCCTTCTCCTCTTGCTCGCTCGCCGACATTAGACAGCTCGGCTGCCTTAATGTTGTGGTGCCTGAACCTTGGCTCGCGTGCGAGCAGAAAGGGCCTCGCGTGCCCTCCCTGGCACGCGTGCCATAGGTTCGCCACCACTGGGTTAGGGCATAGATGGGTCGATTATAGCAGGTGCAGACAAAATCCTCCACAAAAGCATCGAGTGGCAAAAACCATTTAGGGGCTTGAAAAATGTTTGTCTGGGTATTTCCAATCTTTGCAGATAAAATTCTCGTAAAAGGATTGATAAGGAAACACCTTGGAGCGTTTAAGTATCTGAGAACTCCCTGACAGTGTAATAGGGAAAGAAATGGCGCTGACTGAAATTGAGCTGGTGGAACAGGAGGGATTTAGCATCCGAAAACACATCTTCTTGAAGGTCTCTAAAATAATCAAAGATATTAGGCATCTAGGTATCCGGCTGGTGGTGGGTGTTTAAAACATCTGCATTCAAGTGGAGCCAAAAGGACCAACGAAGACAAAAAAAACCTTCCATAATTGTAGATGACATCTCTGTTACAAGACAGAAAGAAGAATGATCCCCTATGGATCTGTGAGAAACGTAGAAGGCACAATCCTTCCCTGTGCCAAGTATGGCATTGCACATAATACAAATAAGGACCTGTATAGGTGGGTTGCCAAAGTTGCAGGGCAGCAGCTCTTACATTTGATGCCAGACATGTTGCTATCAGAAGGATGTGGTATCTTTAAGGAAAAGGTTGAGCAGAAGAAAACACATCCACTCTCCTGGGGACATTAAGTGAAACTGAGCAGGTGTAAGGAGTTATAGCCTTAAGGGGCAGGCCTTCCGTTCATATGTGCCTAATGTCCATTTCTCCTGTAGGCATCAATATAGCCTAGGCTTATCACTATTAAGCTGTGTCCCTCAATGAACGAAAAAGAAAGAAGCCGTACACTCCACATGGTGGCTACACATTAAAATACTAAATATTCATATGCAATAATTACCACCTTCATATAGGCCTGACTAAAATAAAAGAAAATATGCAAAAAGACACTATACATTGTCATTACTCAGGAAGCAGGAAAATTAGATGGTTGCACTGTGGCTTAGGTGTAGAAGCCTGATGCCAGGAAAGCACAAGCAGAGCTTCTCTGTCCCTCAGTTAGAATGCCAAGAGACTAAGCAAATTTTGCCATAACAGGCTATTGACACTGGCACTTGTGTCATCAATGGGCCATCATCTTGGTAGAGCAACGAGAGCTGTACTAAGAATTTGGCAAAATGAACTAGTATGTTGCGCTCGGTGTTGGTGGATCTCTTTGGTTTGGGGTAGGTTTAGTTGTCACTAAACACAATGTCAAACTATATACGGTGAAAATGGTGATAAATAATTCTATGTGATAAATTAATAGATAGTACTTAAAATCGTGCTAATTTGTGATCTATAAATAAATATATAAAAACATGTGTTGTTGATTAAATAGTGTATCTAAATTATTCTATGGTGACTCTAATTGTGTAGGATTACCGTGGTAGCGGTATAATGCTTATACCTAAAAAATTCATTGATACCACTATAAGTGTCTCAACATGGCTTGTTAGTGAATTACAATAGTGAATATATACTTTGTAAATTGTATCAAGAAGTAAAAACTATCAAAAAAAATCGAAAAATTAATAGATAAGTAAATATATAAATAAAATGAAATAAATATGAAATAAATAATAAAATATATGTAAGTAAATAAATAAATAAATCGATGTGTCCAAAAATCCAATTATAAAACTGATGGCATGGGATAAAAAGAGTCGGTATCTTATACCATAAACTACTATAACAGGCAGGCCTCTTTGACCTATACACCTTCACACAAACGGTCAATATATTCAAAATGACATCATAATATTGGACTGTGAATAATTCTTAAAATATAACACATAAAAACCCACATCCAATTAGTGCAGTTCTTCACACATGAGAGGACTTTTTGACATAGACGGGGGAAAACGTTGTATAAATAGTCGTTAAATTCCTCTGTCCATAGTCCTTAATCAAAAAAGGAAAATTAGGGTTATCCAACGACAGCCCACTTATCTGTCCTTCCCGAGGTAAAAGCCAGGAAACATTCAGCTCACAAGAAAAAATCCTTTTTTTTGGCTCTTGAGATATTTGAGGTCTACAACTCCCATAGAAAAGAGTTATAATATTTAATACCACTTATTATCCTACCTCTCTATAACATTGAGATCCTTACCTTCCTTTAAATATTGATCTTAAATAATCTTAAATAACTTTTTACAGGTGCAAAATTTAGATGTAAACACATTTTAATAAACATTTTAAGTGTAATTCATTAGAAGGTTTTTTAATCTTAGGAATTTAATGTATATGTTATTGATTATGATGCCATTTTTAATTTGAAGGTGGTTTAGGCCCTATTACTTCTTTTGTAATGTTTTTTAACAATTTATTATATTAAGATATTGGAATTTGAATGTTACGAATGTTATATTATATTGGGCACATTATTTGGCGCATACAGTTTTTATATGTAAAGATGTGCACCTTTTACCCATTTTGTGATGGATCGGTCATTAGTTGTAAATACCACACACCCATGAATACAATGGAGGTGTGCCTGGTAGCTAATTGGTTTGATCAATTATCTACACTATATAAGTTCTGGTGTGTTGGAGAGGAATTCACCCTTTTGAAAAAGTCTCTTGTGGACGAAACGCGTAAAGGGATTCCTCTACATTACACTGAATGATCGATAAGGCCGAGTGTCCTTTTATTACTCAAAGCTTTTAATTCTACAGAATTTCGTAAGTGTTTGCAGTTTTTGCGTCTAAATAAATAATTTACTGTTACACTTAGAAGTGTTCCCTTTCTTTCTCGTTCTCCCCTCTATCCGGTTTAATTTGTACCCGGCGGGCTGCTAACATCGCCGCAGAGAAGTTAGACGGGGAATCTGAGAGGAAAAAGGCAGGAACGCTTTTCTTCTACAGAGTGAACACAGGATATGAGGATTTTTCTTGTGAGCTGAATGTTTCCTGGTTTTTACCTCGGG